GCCCGCGTACCGCAAAAAAAATAAATAAATAAATAAATAAATAAATAAATATTTATAAAAATACGAGTGTATATGTTAACATAAAGTTGTAAACACCCTTTCTGGATAAGGACTATTCTGAGATAATGTCATTGTTTCTTTGACATTAAAATGTTTGTTGTTTTATTACTAAAGGTAGTAGATAGTTGGGGGAGGGTTGTTTTTGTTTTTTTAATAGAATAAGTGGGGAAGTGTTCTTTCCTCTTCTGTTTTTGGGGAGAGTTTTTGAAGGATTGATGTTAATTCTTCTTTAAATGTTTGGTAGAATTCACCAATAAAGTCATCTGGGCCTGGATTTTTCTTTGTGGGAAGTTTTAAAATTATTAATTCAATCTCTTTACTTGCTACAGGCCTGTTCAGATTTTCTTCTTGAACCAGCTTCAGTAACTTATGTCTTCCTAGGAATTTTTTCATTTCATCTAAGTTATCTAATTTGTTGGCATACCATTGTTCACAGTATTCCCTTATAATACTTTTTTTTTTGGTAACATCTTTATTGGGGTATAATTGCTTTACAATGGTGTGTTAGTTTCTGCTTTATAACAGAGTGAATCAGTTATACATATACATATGTTCCCATATCTCTTCCCTCTTTTGTCTCCCTCCCTCCCACCCTCCCTATCCCACCCCTCCAGACAGCCACAAAGAACCGAGCCGGTTTCCCTGTGCCATGCGGCTGCTTCCCACTGGCTATCTTCCCACTGGCTACTTTTTTTTTTTCCTGTGAAGTAGGTAGTAATGGCCCATCTTTAATTGTTGATTTTAGCAATTAGAGTCTTCTCTATATTAAAAAAAATTTTTTTGGTCAATCTAGCTAAAGGTTTGTCGATTTTGTTGACCCTTTCAAAGGACCAACTTTTGTTTTTGTTAATTTCCTTTTTTTTTTTTTCCTTTGGTTTGATACCAAAATACTGTTTGTTTTATGAATAAAGGTAGTAGATAGTAGGAATTTCTCCTTCCCTGCCACCAGCATCCTCACATTTGCAAAATAAAAAGTTAGAAAACCTCTGTTAGACTTCCTCACACACACACACACACACACACACACACACACACACACACACATTTTAGATTTTACCAGTGAAATGCAAAGGCCTAATAATCACTGCTCTGTTACAACATTTTAAAATCTCACTTTGTACTCAGAATTGTGATTCATTTTGTTCGAATTTTCTAGTTTACTATATCAGACTTTCCTCTGTAATGGAGCGTGATTCTTTCTGCTAGATTTGTCCAGCTTGCTTTGGCTACAACCTACAAGAAGTTCTTTGAACTTCTTGGTCCTGGATTTCTTCTTGAGCCCAGTTGGCAAGCACAGTTACCGCATACGTGATGATGTGCACACAACTCCCTTCCCAGCCCTTTCCTGCCCACATGCTCAGGGCACTAACCTCCACGAAGGAAAACTCCTGTATCACACCGTCTGGCCGTACGTCCTGGGATTCAGCAGCACATTTGCCTGTAGGGCAGACCCTGCCTATTGGTGGATCACTTGCCATTGCCTCCATTTGAGATGTCAGATAATTTTTACTTTTTATGTGTTCTGCATGCTGTTTGTCTCTTACTGGTCTCTTCAGTCTGTGGGATATCTTGTACAGAGGAGGAACTCTCATGCTTTTTGGGCAGACTTCAAGCCTTGAAGTCACTTCTCCAAATGTGAGGGCTTAGAGATTTGATGGGAAAGTGCATTTACGTAGCCCAAGCATTCTGTTCTGACTTTTTACATACAGTAAATGGACTCAAACAAATGTCTTTTTCAATAAACATTTTCTAGAAAAATGAAATTAGCAATTCTAAGAATGTGAATGAAAAAATGTAATTCATTTATGATAGGTAATTAAATATAAACAGGCCCATGTTCCTCCTTTTCTCTTTTATTAAGGAGTTTTAGGATACGTTGTAAGTGAACATTTTTGTTCTTACCGTGGGTTAGACATATCTAGGTTCTTTACACAGATTACCTTGTTTGATACAGCTCTCTTGTAACGTAGTCAGGTCAGACCTTTTTATTTTTAAGTGACTTAATTCGACTGTAAAATGTACAAGTTACATGAAAGTATATTAGGAATATAATGATACTTATTAATCAAGTCTTTATGAATGTATCATTTTATATTCAATATTCCTATTAACCTATTGATTTATATATATGTGTTTAGATCTACATTTGTATCTACCTATGTATGTATTTTTTTCTAACATCCGAAGCCTATACTCTGCCAGTGTTTTGATAGTTTTATCTCATTTCCTCATTCATTCCTTCATTCACTCATTCAGTAAGTATTTAATAAGCATCAACTATATGCTAGCTTCTGTGCTGAGTACTGAGAATACAGAAGGGAATCAGACAACCAAGGTCTTTGTCCTTACTGAGCTCATTTTTTAGCTGGGAGACAGACAAACAGGTATGCAGCATAATTGTAAATTGAGAAGTGAACAGAATGGCATGTAAGTCGTATGCAGCATAATTGTAAATTGAGAAATAAACAGAATGGCATGTAAGTCGGGGAGGGAGTTGGTTTAGATAGAGTTGTCTCTGAAGAGCTAACGTTTGCAGTCATAACTCAAGAGTGAGAGGTAGGCACCCATAAGAAAAGCTGGTGGCCAAGTGTTCCCATCAAAGGGATCAGCAAGTGCAAAGGAATAGCTTTGATGTCAAGGGAAGCAGGGTTGCGGGGGTGGTTTGAATGGAAAAGATGAAGGCTGGAGAGTCAAGCAGGGCTTCCTGGGGCCCTGGGAGGGGTTTAGATTTTATTATAAGTGCAATGGGAAATTACAGAATTGTAAGCAAGAGAGTGATGTCATTTGATATATGCATTGTAAAAAGTCAGTGTAGCTGCTTGTGGAGAATGAACTGCAGAAGGTTAAAAATCTGTTGCATGGTCCGCTTGAGAAATGATGGTAGCTTGGACTCCTCGCCTTATCAGCCAGGGAATGAGCCCATCTACCATGGAAACTGAGTTTTAAGAGAGCTTCCCAAGGTTTTTCCTGTATTTTTCTCCATAATATGCCAGACCTAGAGACTGGCGCATTTTTTTAAGGGTCCCTCCCTCCCTCCATTTCACAAATATATAGAATTTTAGGATGAGCTCAACAATGCTAAAACCCAGAGGGTTTTTTAAAATTCCTCTTCAGGGAATTCAGAGTCTCTTCATCTTTCAAGATATAAGACCACTAAAGGAAGCAGCTCCAAATATAAGTTCTTCACCTGTCAATGGACAAGATGCCCAGGTCCAAGCCTTCCTGACATTGTCTGTAATGCAACTTTGAGAATATGGTTTTCCTCAATATTTACAAAACATTAATACTATATAAATGATGGAATAAGTTTGCTTGAGATGTCTTAAGGCACCTTTGTATGAAGTTTCCTTGCTAATTAATGAATAAAAATTACAGCTGTACTTAATTAATTTTACCAATGTCAACTTGACATGAACCTTAGCTCATTTGTGCACCTACTGTTAAAAATACAATCGCTATATACTGAAACGTTATTTTTCTTGCTTGCTCAAAGTAGTTGAGTAGTTTCAGAACGTCCTGAGCCTTGAGTTTCACTTGAGAGTTACAGAGCATTAGTTGGGTATGAATGTCGTGAGAAAGGCTGGAACTATTGGGTTGGCCAAAAAGTTCGTTCGGGCTTTTCCAGAACAAACTTTTTGGCCAACCCAGTATACTTGGAGCCTGTGCAAACTGCCTTTCCTGGGAATCTTGCCATATTTTTTCCACTTCTTGATTATCTTTAAGTAAGCAGCAGTTAGTGACTGGTACTAAAATATATTATTAGTATAAATATGATCATTACAAGTTAATGATTTATTATTATTTTTCATTTAAAACCGTCAGAATGAGCCAACTATTTAAGTGTTTTGCTTGTTTGTCTCTCTTTGTTTTTGTTTCCTTGGAAAACAGGTTTTAACTGATTGGGGGGTTTTTTTTCCTTTAATGGTAACAGGTGAACAATTTAATTTAGACCATTTGTATAGAACATGAATCATTTGAATATTATTTTACTGTTAGTGTGACATGTTTTAAGGTAATAATACTGAATGTAAAGTTTTCCTCTGGTAAGAAAAATCTTAAAGTGTGTTTCATGTGAGAAAAACATTTTTTTCATCAAATATTTATTCTTAGTTCTTACTACTTACTGTAACTATGTATGGTAATAGATACCATTGCTTAGCTCTTTCTGGCATGGGGTTGTGCTTGTTACTGATGAACCACCACTTAAATTCTTTAAGTGTGTTTGAAAATGGTCAAGGTTCCCTTGCTGCTGTGTCATAATCAGTAGAGCAAGTGAAAGAATTAGGAACCGTATGTGTCCTCTGTAAACTGTAAGGCTTTATGCAGTCGTCTCTCTAACAGATCCTGACCTCAGGATAAATGTGTCTGATTCAAAAAAAAAAAAAAAACAGCATAATTAGGGACTTCCCTGGTGGTCCAGTGGTTAAGACGCTGCACTTCCATTGCAGGGGGCCCGGGTTCAATCTGGGTTCCTGGTTAAGGAACTAAGATCCCACGTGCTGTGTGGTGCAGCCCCCCCCACCAAAAAAACAGCAAAATTAATAGAATCACACAATTTTTCAGATAGGTGGAAACTTAGAAAGCAATCTAATCCAACCCCTAGGATTTTACGGGTGGGGGAAATAAGGCCCAGAGTTAATGAGCAGCTTACTTAGACTCACACTGCTGGTTAAATAGTTAGTATCCTTCTGTTGTAAACTCATCACTCTGGGTCTCGCATGTACTTCTATACTGCTTTCCTTTCCTTTGGAAAAAGTTTTTAGTGTAGTGTGATGAAACCAAATGAACCTTTTGTCAGGTTGTATTTTATCTTATAGTCAAACCGCTTTGTTTTACTGTTAAAAATACACACACACACATATACATATATACATACATACATACCCTTCAAGGAATGAAGAGATTCATACTTTAAATGATTGCTAATAACAGCAAGCTTATTGATAGTAAAAATATGAACCAGTCAACTCCCAGCTCCATTAGAGATTCAAAAGCAAATGAGGGGCTTCCCTGGTGGCGCAGTGGTTGAGAGTCCGCCTGCCGATGCAGGGGACGCGGGTTCGTGTCCCGGTCTGGGAAGATCCCACATGCCGCGGGGCGGCTGGGCCCGTGAGCCATGGCCGCTGAGCCTGCGCGTCCGGAGCCTGTGCTCCGCAACGGGAGAGGCCACAACAGTGAGAGGCCCGCGTACTGCAAAAAAAAAAAAAGCAAATGAGGAGTACTCAAAGAAGAAGATAGAAAAAGAGTTAAAATACTGGGAGAGCCTGAGGCCAAGAGCTAAGGCAATTAAGATTTCTAGCACAGGAGACTGATGATAGCAGGGCTATCATCCCAGGCCTAGTAAAGACACCCAAACAGCTGAGGACTAACAGCAGTGGGAAGGGAGGCGCCCTGCTGACTGGGACTGAAAAGCATTGTCTGTCATCACTCTGTATGTAACCAACTTTGTTTCCTATGATTGAAACACAATGCAAGAGACTGCTTTTCCTCACACTCTTCTGAGGTGCTTCTTGTGCCTTCAGAGGACTGTCCTTCATTCTCTATAGGCAGATTCCACCTTTATAAATGAGCAGAAAAGGTGGGTGGGGAGCTGGGGGAAGAACCTGGTGGCTCATGGGGATCTGACTGCGCCCATGTTAGCGGGATTGCCTGATGAGTGTTCCTTTCTACTGGAAACATCTCGCTTTGACAAGTTTATAAAGCCCCTGAAAGTTCAACAGAAATCCCAGAAGTGTTCTAAAATCAAAGCAATATTCAAATTGCATTCTAAAAGAAGATTTTTGATCAAGACTTGTGTTCAATACCACGATTTTCATTAGTATATGCTTGAGCAGTAGGATGCCAGGTGAAGGGCCCTGGACCAAGTCAGGACAGCTGGTTTCCAGTTCTGTCTCTGGATGCCAAGCTGTTGAAACATCACTCAGTATTGCAAGGTGTCCTTCATCTGTAAAACAGGGAAGGAAATTGGTATCTTTAAGGGCCCTTCCCATGAAAAATGCTTTGTGTCAGTGCAGATTATATTAAAAAAGTAACTACACTTAAATAGTACTTATTTTTTAAGCTTGTTCAAAAGGTGCAAGCTTTTACTGTTTTGTTGTTTTTGTTGTTTTAGGTTTAGTTGTTTGAACAGAAAGCTCTTACTTTGTTAAGTTGAAAGCATTCTGACCTCTTCCAGGTTGCGCATCCCTGCCATCCGCTTCCTCACGGTTCACCCCACAGCTGGGAGTGCAGCCCCTATCATAAGTCCTCATGTCCCCTTCTCTTATATATAAATTAGGCATTCGCTTAGAAAATAAATACCTTTTCTTCTGTGTTATGTATTCATACCCATTGTACTTTTTACAGTCACTTTATCATTTTCCTTCTGGTCGTCACTTTATTTCATAAAAATAGTCTAATGAAGTTAATTTGAGGTCTTACCAGCTTAGCCTACTCTACTTAAAGGGACCACATAAAGTTAAACTTTTCAAGTTTTGATTCTGCTTTACTTTTCACTATAAACTGAACCACTAGACTAAAATAATGCTATGTAAATTTTTCTCTTTGCAGAGTGTTCGACCTACACCACAGAATGACGCTATAACGGTACACTTTAAACCAATTACATTAAAAGCTTCAGAAAGTAAATATACCAAGGTTGCAAGTATCAGCTTTGATGGTAAGTGTTCAACTTTTTCTCTCTGATAGAGTGCTCTTATTTTGATAAATTAGAAGGCATCTATGTTGACATCTGAATATAGAAACCCAGACCATTTTACAGTCAGGTTTTATAGTACTGGTTAGGTTGGTTTTTCTTGTAAATCATCACCAACTCTTATTTGATGGTTTCACGAAAGAAAATATTATAACTTCATAAACCTAAATTAATATTAGCAAATACATTAGGATTGGAGTTAAATTTTTGTTATCTGGGCTCTTTTACATATATACCTATTATGCTTTGCCTTAATTATGAAGTCGTTAATTTTTGTAATTAAGTGAATATATATTTGAATTTCAGAAGCATCTTTGAATTTAAGAGCACAAATAAAGTATTTTCTGTAACATTTTCCATATATTGGCTTTTATTAACGAGGCAGACTATCCTACCTAAACTAAAATAACTGCCTTCATGATAGAATTGTCAAATTAGATAACAATTATTTCAAACACGTATATTGTGTATTTTGACATTTGAAATATTAACCCAGACTTTAACATATTTTAACAGCATGTTTTTATTCAGTTTTGCCCACTTTACTAGAACATTTACTGAATTTGCTGTCATAAAATTTTTTGAGTAGTGATGTAATGGCTGTCTAACTGTATATGTAATTTAAATTTAGTGAAAGCTGAAACTCCAAGTGGGACTTTGCTCATAAGGGCACGGGCAAGTGAGGAGCCCTGAAGCTTAAGCTTTGGCTGCGGGATAAAGCCATCTTTACTCATAGTCCACATTTTACAACTAAGCTCCTCATCAGAAGAGAATATTTGGTCACTGAGTGACCTACTGAATGTGGCACAGTGTTTGTGAGAGCATCTGTGCTCACTCCATGCACATGGAGAGTCTGGGGGAGAATCTGGAGCAACTGCACAGTTGGCTGCCAGCACAGTGTTCATCCTATGAGCTCAGAGAGAACTCCCAAAGAAGTTAAGATTAAATACATGGCACACTTCCATAGTCCAGCTGTCAGGAAATAATCAGTATTGTAGAAGGCTTGATAGCACAGATATTTCCAAATGTGTGATAAATTGTCTTCTGTGTTGCTAAGATACCGGCCATGACCACCAGTATCAGTGTCAGTATCAGTAGGTACATTGTCTTCCCTTACGGAGAAACAGAGCAAGCAGTAATAACTTCTGACCCCTAGAACAACATGTAGGATCTACCCTTCTGATAAATCCAAGGAGTGGGGGGTATACACTGGGGCAGCTGTGCTGCGTACTTCCCCCATTCTTCTTTTCCAGCTCCTGTATTGACAATACAGTGACTGTTTCCACTGAGATAAATGAAAGTCAGGAATGGTGGTTCTGAGATCACAGACTCCAAAATAAATGTTTCTTAAAGAAATGATGTAAAATTTAACACAGAGACAAGGGAAAGCATCTTTTAAAGCAGGTGCTACATTTCTTAAAAGTGGTTTTTATTATCATGGGAAAATCCCTCCACCTTTCACCTCCCACCTCTCCCATCACCACCCCAGATTCCAATACAAATGATATTACCCTTGAGATTGCTAAGAAATGCTTGTTTTACTTAACTTTTAAAATTTTCAGGGGAATTGCCTGGCGGTCCACTGACCTGGGTTCAATCCCTGTTAGGGGAACTGAGATCCTGCAAGCCGAGGGGCGTGGCTAAAATAATTAATTAATTAATTTAAAAATTAAAATTAAAAATTTCAGAATGTGCCATGAATATTAACTCCACAGTGTTCACTTACCAAGCAAGCATGTCTCATCAGCTCATGATTCTTTATGATTTTTAACTGAATTTTCTTGAGGTTTTGACCACTTCATTGCTAAAATATAACTTGATTAGATACTATGAAATGCCTGAATTATGGCCCTTGTTATCAGCCTTATGTCAGAATAAATAGCAAAAAAAAAAAAAAAAAAAAAAAAATTTAGTTAAAAAAAAAAAAAAAAAAAAAAAAAAATTTAAAGCATCCAGAAACAGCTCTACAGTAAAAAGCAGAAAGAAACGAGGTTTAATGGGAGTTTCAAAAATCTGAATCTGCACCGTCCGTAAATAAGCCACATACTAGATGTCGCTCCTTTCTTTTTGTTGTTCTTTTTTTCTGCTAAAGTTGGGTAACAAACATTTGCAGAACTTACATATAAATTCTTCTCATAAGTGGAAGTGTTCCTGAAGTACTTAAAGGGGATAAAGATACACAGCTTCTTTATTTGCTTTGGAAAGAACATCTAATGGGTACACAGATTAGATCCAACTGACTCTTTTCTGTAATTCCAGATGGAGTGATTCAGAAGTGCTACAAAACTTAAAGGTTTTACTTCATCTGAGGACAATATGATGGCAGGGAGGGTATATGCCTCCTCTTACACTATAGGTTAGGGTTGGCTAAATATAAAAAGTCAGAGCTCATAACTCTTGACATTTTTTGCACCAGGCTACTTTATTGGTATTTATAGCAAGACTCTGGCCACACAAGGAATGTTATTTCTTAATCCAGCTGTAAACTAGCAGTTCTCAGTTTGGGGGGCTGGGCAGTTTTGCCTCCCAGGGGATGTTTGGCAACGTCTACAGACACTTTTGGTTGTCGCAGCTGATGTCTAGCAAGAGGCCATCCTGTGCACCGCCCAACATCCCGCAGAACACAGGGACAGCCACTCTGCCACCCAACAGCGAGTTTACCTGGCCTAAAATGTTCGTAGTGCCAAGGTTGAGAAACCCTGCTGTAGGTAAAGCCAAAACTTATGGCTGTAGAGAAAGTAGCTCAAATATAGCGCTTTTCCTCCTGAATTGTGTTCACTTGCTAATCCCTTACCTATTTAGCGCATTACAGGAAAATTAAAATATCTTCCCGTTTTTGTATGAAAAATGTGGTATTTCAATTAAAATGTTGTAAAAATATTCTTTGTGCCAGTTTGAAAGCTCAGCTGCTTAAGATTTTGTCAGTCTACATGCAAAGTCACTCTCATCCTCCTCTGTATAAACTCTTTGGTAGCAAAAGGTGACAGATTATGTTTTATGCTTCCTTTCAGCATCAAAGGCAAAAAAACCATCTCAGTTTTCTGGGAAAATAACTGTTAAAGCAAAGGAAAAGAGTTATTCTAAACTTGAAATACCATATCAAGCAGAGGTTTTAGACGGGTGAGTTTTTCTTTAAAATAAACTTTATAACTTATTATTAATCAGTAAATTCATTGATCTTAGCGAAAGTAGTAGCCAAATTCACATAAACTCCATGGAATTCGTGTTGAGAAAAACAACTTCAACTATAAAGGAGAAAAATCTCCTGTATTTTGTTTATTTTTTTTTTTACTTTTTTAGAAGAAAGAGGTAAATGGGATGATGTGATTTGGGCTTAAATGAAGTCTTATTGATTCCATAATACAATAGAAAAATGAATCTGTGATTTTTAAATCATTTGAACCATTTCCTTTCTGTAATCCTTTTTGTAGCATGCAAGTGGCTATGGCTTGCTATTAAAGTATATTGTCAGTTGAAACAAAATCATTTATATTCCTTTATAGACTTGTTAAACACTGTTCTAGAATTACAGCTTTTTATAAATGGGCAATAATATATGTAGTTCATTTTCTCATTATACTTTAACCAATAATAGTTCAATGTCCAGCATGGCAGGGACTTCATGTGGTCAACCGCTAAAATGTTTATAGTCTTAATTCTCTAGTAACAGTCATAATGCTGAACGTAAATTATTACTCACAGCGAAAGAACTTGGATTTTAAATTAACACGTGGAAATAAAAATAATTTATTTTGTTTTTGTTCTTTTCAAATAGTTATTTGGGATTTGATCACTCTGCAACATTATTTCACATCCGAGACAGTCCTGCTGATCCTGTGGAAAGGCCAATTTACCTCACTAACACTTTCAGTTTTGCAATCCTCATTCATGATGTGTTGCTACCAGAAGAAGCCAAAACAATGTTTAAAGTATGTCTGGGAACCCTCATACTTTTAATTTTACTGATCTGCCAAGCAAATGATGCTGACACATTGTTTTTTCTCTCCCATCATTTCCTAGGTTCACAACTTCAGCAAACCAGTCTTAATTCTTCCAAATGGATCAGGATACATTTTTACTCTGTTTTTTATGCCATCCACATCATCCATGCACATAGATAACAATATTTTACTTATTACCAATGCCTCTAAGTTTCATTTACCTGTGCGGGTATACACAGGTTTTTTAGATGTAAGTATGCTGTCTACCTTTAAAATTTAAACTCCCTACACGTCTTTTGTGTTTTCAGCTACTAGCAGCCAGTCGTGTTGCACACACTTAAATTTTGCTATTTCTATGCTTTACAAGTTGTCCTAATTCCTCCCTCGTCAGTACTTACAAGATTTTCACCCTCCCAGCGGCCGTGTCTCCTCATGATGCAGTTGACTCCTCTAGTTAACGCCTCTATTTAGATCTTTTCCACATTCCACTTTCTCCTGGTTTTGCTTTTAAACTGTCATAGTCATGGGGAAGCTAAACACGAGTGAAGTGGAAGAAAGATAATAAGCAGGGAAGAAATACTATAGGGCAGGTGAAAAGAAAACTCTGTAGGGAAGAGATGACCAAAACCAAGAAGTGCAAAGAATGAAGAAGAGAACCAGATAAGAAAGAGGGAATAGGTGGGAAAGACACAGCTGGAATAGTCACGTAAATACGGCAGGAAAGGTCTTTCTAGTACAGAAAATAAGACAGGGAAAAAAATCCAAACAAAGCTGTGCTTAAAATTATCAATGAAAGAAGTTTAGATAAGAAAGAAAACTGATAGGAAAGATATGAAAGAAAAAAAGAAAGTGAAAACAGAGAAATGTAGTTCTCCAAAAAGCTAGCATCGATAAGAATTTTAGGGCTGAAGGGACCGTCACTGTTATACCACTCCTTCTGCATTTCTTTTGCTTAAATGGTCACTGGTTTGTAGCGGCTTTCATGAATGTGTGATGTTTGCTGAGACTGAGGACTTTTTGCCTAATTCCCCAGGGCTCCACTTAACCTCACCTAGCACTTCAGTTTCCTGCTGCTTTTATGTGCCTTCAGAGGAGAACTAGCAATTCAGTAGAGGCCATGAGTGTTTTCATTTCTGAGTAATCAAAATATTTCCATTGTACAAAGTTCTTAATTATATATTATGTATGCGTATATTTACATAAAATATAGGAACCTTAGTATATCTTAATACAGTTACTTTTTCTTGATAACATTCTCTTACATAAGTGTGACTTTACATTTCATCTAGTTCTTTTATATCTTTCCAGTACTTTGTATTACCCCCCAAAATAGAAGAACGTTTCGTAGATTTTGGTATACTGAGTGCTACAGAAGCAAGTAACATTTTATTTGCAATTATGAACAGCAACCCGATTGAGGTAAAAAAAAAAAAAAAAATTGTTTTTATTCTAACTCACATTTAAGGATTTTACGCTAGTGCCGCAATAATCACTTTCGTATCTTTCTCTTTTTTAAGTTGGCCATAAAAAGTTGGCATATCATTGGAGATGGTCTATCAATAGAACTCGTAGCTACTGAAAGAGGCAATAGAACTACAATAATCTCAAGCCTTCCAGAGTTAGAAAAATCCTCTTTATCAGACCAGTCATCAGTAAGTTAACTTTTTTATTGTTTCCTTAAACTTAGATGTAAACCTCAAATAGAAGACTAGTCATCATAATATTTTTATGAGAGTCGCAATAGCACTGGCTATTTGATGTTGAAAGGACCCTATAGGTAGTCTGCTTAAACCCCCTTCCTTTCATGGTGAGAGAGCACTTGAGGGCTCAAAGGAGTTAAGTTGTAACACAAGTGTCCTTACAGGAGAAATTCCCATGGGTAGTAAACTAACCCTGTGTTTATTGAATTCACTAGGCAGAAGAGAGAGCCCTGCACATTGATAGAAGGTGTTTTCAATTATACAGTAATATTTCTGGTCAATTCTCTGTACTGATTAGAAGAGAGTATCAGTGAGGCAAACATCGTTTGGTGGATCTCTGTGTGGATCTCCCTATATACTTTTACTCTGTCTTATGTACAGTTGGTCATAAAAGAGCATGAAACAAGAGTAAATGAATATAGCAGTCTAAGCTCTGACCACTACTGAAAAGAGAACTTGGAGTTTATACCTACTCAGAACAGAATTAGTAGAATCACCTTGTACGACTTCAAAGGAGCAGAACATATGTCATCTGTAGGTTAGCATAGAACTTCTTGTGGCAGTTTTACAAAAGGAAAAGCAAATGTCCTTATGCACAGAGGTTATTGACAAATATGCTTCCATGGAATGCCATAGGTCATAAAAATTGACTTAAACATTTAAACATCCCCCAAAATAGGTTTTTTGGAGGACAATCTGGCAATATATACCACTCCTGGGAATGTTTCCCATGGAAGTAATTGAAAGAGCCAAAAGCTGTGAGAATGCAGATGTTTGTGATAGCATTATTAATAATTCCAAATAACTGGAAACAGCCAGATGCATAAAGTCATGATTTTATGATTGAATATTAAAGCAAATAAAAAGCTGTAAATACGATTGTATGTAGAAATTTGGAAAAGGATTTCTGAAAAAGTGGGAAATAGTACTAAATAATGTGTATTCTAATTGCAGTTGTGTGGCATTCAGGCTACATAATCAGATATTGTGGTCGATATATGGGTGTTTACATTTTAATAATTTATAATGTTTTAAATTTGATTTATAAATAAAGCCTCCTTTTAAAACAAAAAAGGTTATGCCCATGAGAAGTAATATTTGTCACCCCAGCTGAGGTTTTATTTTTAATACAAATTGAGTGCTGAAAAAGGACAATAATGAGACCAGCCATTAATGTGTTCATTTCAATAATGAAGTTACAGTAAAATTGTATGTATATCTAATCTGAGATGGTTGAATTATACTGTTTTTAATAAGACATTATAAACTAATAATTTTAGGACTCTGGATCATTTCCTCTTACTAAATAACATGTGTTAACACTTACTACTTAAATTTGAGAGGTCCACTCAGTTAACATGAAGCCTGCTTGAAACTTTAGGGTTTTAGAATTAGGTTTTATATAAAACTGTATAAACACAAAAACAAGGGACAGAAAGATGAGATCACTGTTACGAACGCTTACTTAAAATAGGAAGTTGTAGTGAGTTGCCAGCTTCAAAATAGCAACTCCACAATATGTGTTTTTTTAAGTTGGTAATGCCTAAACTTTGAACTGCTTTCCACCTGTTTTCCAAAAAGCCAAACCTATGAACTAAATAAGCATCCTGTTCCTTATGAAACACACATTGCCAACAGCTCTCTGCGCACTTGAGACACATGCTCTTATCTGGCTGGTTAGAGTCATGGAAAATGTTAGAATTGCACAAATCCAACACAGAAATGCTTATAAAAGGGGGAAAGTGAGTATGTTTGGCATATCAACATTTGTTATTTTGAGGTAAATGTGGACTCTAGGTAAAATATAACTACTACAAACTAAAGTACAACTTCACAAATGGAATTTCATGTGTTTTGGAAATATCATGATTGAAAAGGTTATGTGCCAGAAACATCAGCAAATAGCTTGAGAAAACAAGATCCACATTCTCCTTCCTTTCACATTTTTATTGCTTAGCTTTTCCTTCTTTCCATGATTTTTGATGTTTCCATATGATCCAATCTCAGTGGATCTGAGGACATGGTTATTAAAACATGACAGAGTTAAATTCAGAGCTTGAAGCATAACCAACTTTGTATGTATTAATACTTGTGCCCTAATGCGGCCAAAGGGTTAGTGGAAGCCTTTGTCCCTCTGCTGCAGCCCTCACCCGCTTTGACCCTGCACGTACCCGGTTAGGGTGTGAGGACCCTACCCCTCCCCAGCTTTGCAGCTGAGAAGTGAGCTGTTCCTCAGGGAACCAGTTTTCTCAGTAGCCCATGGAATAAGTATAGTAGATAAACATCCAGGGATGGGCATTATTTTGAGATATTTGTATGTGACGATATGGTAATTCAGTGTTACACTGGTACAGGTTAGGATTTTGAAGTCAGTTTATCACTGTAGCTTTCTTTTCCATTTTAATAGAAAACTTCAGCCAGCAAGGCTGATGAATGATGTCATTTCTCCTACATACAGGTAATATTAGCTTCAGGATATTTTGCAGTGTTCAGAGTCAAACTTACTGCAAAAAAACTGGAAGGGATTCATGACGGGGCCATACAGATCACAACAGACTATGAGGTAAGGACTTTATTTACGGGGATTCATGTCAATGGGGTCTTTCTGAATAATTCAGTCTTTTTTTGTTTTTATAGAAACAGAGAACTAAGTTTACTCAGAAAGTTACAGTTTACCTCTTTCATGCCTTAAAAACTGAGCTTTTGAGAATAGTTTACAGAATATTTGTGTTCATTAGCTCGTAGTTTTCTGATAAAACCCAAATCTTTTGACTAAAAACAACTTCAGAAAAATGCATTTGGCACATTTAGAATTGCTGTTAGAAGCCTGCTTACAAATAGTTGTAGCATTGCACAGACCCTGACTGAAATTCCTGAGGTAGGTCTCTCTCTTTTCTGAGGTCATAAATATCCTCCTGTGTAACATTTCCAAAAAGGAAGATACAATCAGGAAATCACATCTTAATTTGAGTTCTCACAATCATATTTACATGTTCCTTGACTTCTGAGTCAAGGAGCCAAGTGAAAATCAGTGAACTTTTTAAAGGCTTTTTGTGGGGTTTGACATGTTGCATTAAATGAGACTTTGAAGAGACATGTTTCTGTCACACCTAAATATTTTGATTTATTATTTCAGAGCTGTTTGGGAAGTCGAGCACTGCTAAAGTCAGCAAGTTGCTACCCTTGTTCTCCTATCTTTTCAGTACATACAACCCCCACATGAAAGAAAACTAATTCAGAATAAACAGAATTGGTCATCTAATAATAAATGATATGTTGGGAGTATGTCAAATTACCTCCAAAAATAAGGAATCCACGTTTATCACTTTTGATAGGAATAAGTACATTTCATACCTTAGCAAAGTATCAGTATCTTTGTGAATTGAAAATAAGAGTACGAGTTGAGATTCAAAATCTGGAACGTTCAACTCATTTTTTCAAATTAGCTTGATGTTAATTTATTGCTGAGTACAAAAAGTAGAGAGCTATGTAACTTTAGGAAATGCTGGATTTTTCATTCATTGTTTTAGGAGAATAATTGAACTTTACTTTTTAAATTAATAATCTACAAAATAAAACCTATATTATGAAAAATCTGTTCTTCATTCCTTCCCCATTGTTTGGTCTTGTTTACCATGTTTTCATCGAATCACTGAGAAGTACATGGAAATTTATTGTATTTCAGTGCATTTTATGAAGTACATGGATAGATTAAACAGTATCCATGGGTGATTTTAATTTTGCTTATTAGTTGGTTAATGCTAATATACATCCCAGGATTGGTTCTTTTAATCCCCCAAAATAACTGTCCCCCTGCAACAACTGTCAGTGTCAATCGCAGACTTAAACCCTCATTTCTCTGTTGTTTGCTTCTTCCCTCCACAGATCCTAACAATTCCCGTGAAAGCTGTGATCGCAGTGGGTTCTCTGACTTGCTTCCCAAAGCATATGGTTCTTCCACCTTCTTTTCCAGTAAGACAGTTAATTTGTACCCTTCTTCTTGCTAATATTTTTTCTCTTTGCCTTTATGTTCCTAGAATTCAACAATAAAGTCAGTTACTCTTTATTAATCACTTATTGTAAGGTAAGACATCGTACCAGCTTCTTTAGGAGACATAAAGAAGAATAAGAAATAGTCCCTTCTCTCAAAAAGTTTTCAATCTAGAATGAGAAATGGGCCCATGATTCATAGACGTAGAGCAGGGTGTAAAAATTGCCCTAAGAGGTGAAAAATAACATGCTATGAATAAAATACATATCTAATTGATGAAGGTGCCATGTGAATTGGCTTGGAATTTCTTCTGGCAAGGGATAGACAAGGGGTAGCAAGATGGCATTCAGGGCCCAGGGAACAACCTGAATAGAGACACAGGCAGCAAAGTCTGAGATGGCTTTGGGCAGTGGTGAGCCGTCCAGTTTTACAAGAATGCAGGGAAGTTTCAAGAGAGAAGATGGAATGGTACCTTGGAGTGATAGCATGAAAAAAATGCAATGCACTTAAGTCCATGAAAATCTAAAGTTTTTGAGCAGAGGCTGGACATCGTCAGAGTTAAGCTTTCAAGACGGGCTCTCTGGCAGAAGTAAATGTAGGACACGTCTCGGAGTAGCAATAGTGTACCTGGAAGCCAACCCAGAGACTCTGGCCACGGTCCACAAGGAAAGCGTCAAAGGAAGGTCTGGGCTTAGGGCATTGGCAGAGGCAGTAAATCGCTTTCATACCTCCACACCTTTGCTGCTCATCTGCCTTGGCTGCCCTTCCTCCTCTCCTACCTTCAAGAACTCCTACGTGTCTTTCAAGATCCAATTCCATTGTCATATCCTCTCTGAAGATTTCTTCACTCTACTAGACAGTACTAGTTATTTCATGTGTGCTTCTGAAACAATTTGAGATTACTTCTCTTGCAGCAAGCCTCACATTGTGCTGTAAATGTTGCCTTATGTGTTGGTCTCCCCAACAAGACTCTGAGACCCAGTGGGAAAGAGATGAGGGATCTTATACCCCAAGTAGCAGGTATCTAGTAGATAATGGGTGGATGAAGGAGCAAAATAATGAAAAAGAGAACATAGGCAAGAGACATTTCAGATGAACCGTTTGAACTGTACTTGAATATCTTGAGGAGGTTATACTCATGGAAACAGGTATGGGTAGGTAGGTAGGTAGAGGACTCAAGAATATGACATAGAGTTTGAGCCTGGAGAACAGGGAGGAAAGAAACGGGGAAACCAGGAGGCCACCTTTTGCAGGAAGATAGTGTAGTCGATTCAGGATGCCTTGGAGCAGATGGAAGTGTCTCTCAGCTGTGGTAGGAGACCTGACGGGTTAAGAGAAACAGTACATTGCAAAATCTTAATGCTATATACGATAAAACCTAAATTCAAATTTTAGCTCCTTAAATGTAAATTAGCTTCAAATATAAATTTGAATTAATAGGTTCAGCACACCTAAGTTTGGGTCTTAATTCAATCTTTGTCTTCTTATCATTCCACTTTGTACTGACTGTACAGAACTCTTGACTTCATTATTTATCCAAAAGAACCTCAATTGCCTTTTCAATCCATGATCTCCTTGATCCCTGCATATATCCTGGAAGGGAATAATTCAGTAGATGACAAAGTGAAAGGCTCATGGACAGAGTAAATGAGAAGGCATCTATAAAAACAAGGTGTTGGTTTTGCAGTACTTCAGATTAAGCTTTCAGATATCTCCAGATGGCTGGGAAGTCCAACATCAAGGCACCAGCAGATCTGATGTCTGGTGAGGGCCTACTTCCTCGGTTTGCCGACGGGCATCTTCTCACTGTATCCTCACACAGCCAAAAGAGCAGACAGGGAGGGCAAGCTCTTGTGCCTCTTTTAAGGGCACTTATCCCTTTCATGAGGGCTCCACCCTCATGACCTGATCACCTCCCAAAGGCCCTGCCTCCTGATACCATCACACTGGGGGGTTAGGATTTCAACATGTGAGTGTGGGGGAGCACACAGACATTCAGCCCATAACAGTCATGAAATTCTGTAAAATCTCTTATCAGATGGAGACTACTAGAGCCAAGTGATGAAAACTTGGTACTTCAGAATGAACATTTCAAATAACTCACAGTTTAATACTTCGTATTTGAATACCATTATAAAATGAACTTCTGTGTCTGTTACCTCTTTTGATCCCCACCATACCCCTGAGAGACAAGACGTGGACACAAGAGTACTAGTTATTACAGGTGCATGAAGACCAGTTAACTGCCGGGAAGACACAGCTGGGTGGAGGCCAAGCTGGGACTCAGCATAGGCTTCTGCTTTATTCTCTTATGTTCGTATCCTCACAGCAGCGTTCCCGCCCTCTAACATCTTTCTACTCTGGTCAGACTGTAAATGATGAGTGTTAGTCTTAACTGCACCATCATTCAACTCCTTTTACTGTTCATTTTCTTAACTTCTTTGTCTTTTTTTTAAAAAAAAATTTATTTATTCAGCTGTGCCAGGTCTTAGTTGCAGCACGTGGGATCTTTCAGTTGTGGAATGTGGGATCTAGTTCCCTGATCAGGGATCAAACCCAGGCTCCCTGCACCTGGAGCCGGAGTCCTAACTGCTGGACCACCAGGGAAGTCCCGACTTCTTTGTCTTTCAATACCAAATATTAGACCAGCAGGGTCTGGTCATTTTAGAGACTTCTTCAAATGGCTAGGAATCAGGTTATAGGATTCTGGTTCTGTATTCAAACAAAAGAAAGTAAAATATTATAATATGATTCTTATTGATGATTATTTGAATCATGTAATTTTTTATTTAAAATCTGGTACCCTGTCATAGGGAGAAGCATGCAGCTGATAAGAGCAATCATTGGTAATTTAATGATTTAATCTGTATACTGTTTTAATATGATGCTTGATAACCTGTGTTTTTAAAAAATATCTAATTTATCTTTGGCACAAATAGTATTTTTCTTTTATAAAGAAAATAGCTTTGGATTTTAGAGTTCAGTTATTTCATCCTGAATTTGGATACTTTTAAGGCACCCTGGCCGTGGTATAATCAAACCTTTCTTAACAAACTGACAGTGACTGCTTCCTTTATTCAAAGCTAGCTCTGTACCTTTGTTAGTATGTGAACATTTTTACTTTAATTCACTTTTACGAGATTGCAGAGATTTGTCCTGCTAATTTATCTGTAATAGGCCATAAAAAGAACAAAATATGTACATTTGGAGGAGGGGCTCTGGTTACAAATTTAAAGTTTATCAACTTTTGAAAATTCTAAATGTCCTTTGAACTTTGGTTTCCTAGAAATATATCTGTCAGCTCTAAAGTGTGTGTTCTGAAGAAAATCTGCCATTTACAGATGAGTTTGTTTGTTTTCTTCCTTCAGGGGAAAATAGTTCATCAGAGTTTAAATATTATGAATTCCTTCTCACAGAAGGTAAAGATCCAACAAATACGATCTTTGTCAGAAGATGTACGATTTTACTACAAACGATTACGGGGCAATAAGGAAGATTTGGAGCCAGGGAAAAGATCAAAGGTTTGAAAATGTTATATTTGCAAAAATTCCCATCCATTAGTACTTTGTCATTGTGACCTTCTGTGGATTTGGGATTCATGGTTCTCCTGTGCCTCTTTATAGATTGCAAACATTTATTTTGATCCTGGACTGCAGTGTGGGGATCATTGCTATGTTGGCTTGCCTTTTCTGTCCAAATGTAAGTTATCTTGCCGTTCTCTCTCTTGCCCTTCACTCCCTTCCCAGAGTACTCTTTAATAAAAGGCGGCCACTTTTAAGGCCCATCGCTATCTCTTGATGCTATAGAAATCATCTGAAGGGCTGAGTATGTCATACCATTTGTCTCCTTGTTTTAGCTGAACCCAAAGTACAGCCTGGTATAGCCATGCAGGAAGATGCTTGGGATGCTGACTGGGATTTGCATCAAAGCCTGTTCAAAGGATGGATGGGAATAAAGGAAAATTCAGGTCATAAGTAAGTGGTTTTGCTTCATTTAAGTATTTGAGCTATCTTTACCAGTATGAAACATGACTTTCTAAAGTTATTCTTATATTAGGTTATTTTATTTCCCTGTAGGTAAGAAAATATGCCTGATCTTCAGGAAGCATCTTGAATTGCCATTGTAATTGTATATTTCTCAGAAGTATGCACACTACCATTTTTGTCTTTTTTTCCAGTGTTCTAGATGCTTCCTTAAAGTCAAAGGAAGTTGTCCTTGTGTAGGATAACTTCATTGTTCACCTTAGACACATCCATTTGCATAAGAAAGAAAGTTTCTACCTACCACTGACCTCTGTTGAAGGCTAGGAAAACACTTTCTAGGTTTAACCTCACAGGAGGAGGAGTGTCTCTGCCCCTCCTGAAGAGAACTGCTTCCTCCCCTTCCAGAGCTGAGCTGTTAGGGGTGCATATGGCCCGTTCACATGGGCTCGACCTTATGTCCGTGGCAGGTAGAAAATGTCCCAGCGACAAATCAGTACCGCATCTGGATTCAAAAGCAAAGACACACTTATGTGGCAGTATAGAAATTTGATCTTTCTGTGTACTTCAGAAGAGAATTTGACTAGCAAACTGATGAAAACTGTTCTCCATTGGCTGATTTGAAATGTATTTGTCAGTATCATCAAGATCTTCCACTTTATAAGTACTGTAAGATTTTCAAGCCATGAATGATTAAATCTGCAGGTTTCTATTTATCTGAACTATCTTCTGTGAAAAGTCCTCTTAAGGCAAAAGAGAGTTAAATTTTAACTTTAAAATGGTTAAAATTAGTACAGAGACGACTTCTAATGAACTCACTAAGAGAACAACACTAATTCAGACACTCCCTGGCCCTCTACACTTCCACAGCGGACGTCGTAAGGCACAGGCCACCTCCACAGTTTTAACATCCAATTATGAATAAATAACTTGCAGTGCTGCCCTAGGTTCATCTGCCAGGGAACCTCTTCACGCCCCGCCCCCTGAAACCCCTGCTTTCCTCTCTGTGAGCCTAGTGTTTCACTCCTAAAGACCCAGGCTCCCTGCCTGCCCTGTGCCACTGTGTCCCAGTTGCACAGGGAATGTGGCATTTTCCCTGCCCCCGCCTTTGTCTTACTTTCTCAGCCTGCATGTTACAGAGAATTCGTTACTCGTCATACAAAACCGGTACTCTCACCAATATTAGGGTGTCATAATTCAGTAGGCTTATAGGATAAAACAGGCTTCAGTGTTTGTGCCCAGGCACCTTAGCCCCATTTATAATATTGTTTCCTTAGGGAATGTGCTCTGAGTTCTTAACCGCTGGCTTATAAATACTCATAAGTAGGGAAATAGTCAAATGAGGCCCTGAAAATTGCTCTTAACTATATATATCTGGACAGAATCCTCATATGTGTTACCTCTTCAACTGATGTCTTCATTGTGTATCAGGATTTTGTTTTGTTTTTTATCTCAAGTGGGGAAAAAGCCATATGCCAAGCAGTGCACTGCCTTCTTATTAGTGCTCCTGAAAACATTTGCCTGCTGTTGGCGTCTGGATCTTTCCACTAAACATGCAAGATCCTTTAGGATCCCCATAACATCATGTTATCTGAATAGCCCTGCCTTTTCCCTTTCGTATTCAGTACGAAAACAGTACTGTACAGGTAATCAGTGATACTTTGGCAGCTCTTTGTGCCAAAATAGAGACATCTTCATACATGTCTCTATGAAAAACATACTTAAATATTAGAGCAAGTAAAATTTCTCAAGTACACAAGCCTAATAGAATTTCCTATATTCAGAAAACTCAAATATTTCATTTTGTTACAGTGACTTACAAATTGTTTTTCTAGATTGAGCGCTATATTCGAAGTAAATACAGACCTTCAAAAAAACATACTGTCAAAAATCACTGCCGAGCTCTCCTGGCCGTCTGTCCTCAGCTCACCCCATCACATGAGGTTTCCCCTTACTAATACAAACTGCTCTTCAGTAAGTATTCAGAGTGACATCAGTTCTGGGAAATCTGTAATAGGGTTATGAAGTATCTGCTCTTTTTTTTCTTTTTTAACATCTTTATTGGAGTATAATTGCTTTACAATGTTGTGTTAGTTTCTACTGTATAACCAAGTGAATCAGTTATACATATACATGTATCCCCATATTCCCTCCCTCCTGCGTCTCCCTCCCACCCTCCCTATCCCACCCTTCTAGGTGGTCGCAAAGCACCGAGCTGATCTCCCTGTGCTACCTGCGGCTGCTTCCCACTAGCTATCTGTTTTACATTTGGTAGTGTATATATGTCCATGCCACTCTCTCACTTCATCCCAGCTTACCCTCTACCCACCCCACCCTCCCTGTGTCCTCAAGTCCATTCTCTATATCTGCGTCTTTATTCCTCTCCTGCCCTTAGGTTCATCAGAACCATTTCTATTTTTTTGGATTCCATGTATATGTGTTAGCATACGGTATTTGTTTTTCTCTTTCTGACTTATTTCACTCTGTATGACAGACTCTAGGTCCATCCACCTCACTACAGATAACTCAATTTCGTTTCGTTTTATGGCTGAGTAATATTCCATTGTATATATGTGCCACATCTTCCTTATCCATTCATCTGTCAGTGGACACTTAGGTTGCCTGCATGTCCTGGCTCTTTTAACAGTGGCAATCTTTCCCTTACTGTGTCTTTACTTTGTTTAAGGAAGAAGAGATTACGTTAGAAAATCCTGCAGATGCTCCTGTCTACATTCAGTTTATTCCTCTAGCCTTATATTCCAACCCTTCCGTCTTTGTAGATAAGTTAATATCAAGGTAGGCATTGCTGGTATATTATCAGAATGTTTTCATATTAGCAGTGAACTATTATTTTACACATTTAAAACTTTATTTCAGCTCATACAGTAATAGATGGGGCTTAGAGAAATTCTGCATCTGTAATTGAAGTTGAGAGAAGGTTCTGGGGAGAGAGATGGATATTATATTAAGCATCTAGAAAAGCTCCCAGTTTAAGACAAGAAAAAAATAATATAGAACTCCTTCCTAAAATCTTATAAAGAGGAAGCAAGTGGTGGAGCCTTTCAAATGTTTTAGTTTTAAAAAGTGAACAAAATATTAACTGTAAGTTGTAGCTATTTTTTGAAGGCTGTTAATCTGATAACATTGATCTCAAAATCTACCAAAAGATAAGCACAACCTTAGTATTTATAACCCCTTTAATTATGATGCTGTTTACAAAGAAATATGTGTATGTTTTTTTATTTCAGGTTTAACTTAAGTAAGGTGGCAAAGATAGATTTAAGAACACTAGAATTCCAAGTCTTCAGAAACAGTGTAAGTATTCAGACTTCATACTATTCCAAAGAAGTAATTCTACGATATGGTCAATGCAAATGTGAAAGAAAAATATTGACCATCCTTAAATTGGTTGAAGGGCAAGTTACTGAAGAAGTCAGAACAGTCTAGTAATTATTTTGGAGGCAAAAAGCCCCAGAAGAATGGGTGGGATGTAGATTGCCGTGAGGCACCCTGGATAGAAGGTCCTGTTTGTGGGCATTAAACATTAAGCTCATGAAGGTTCATAATAATGGCTGCCAGAACCTCTGAGATCATGTAGATAAGGTATATACTGATAGATAATGTTTTTTTTTTTTTAATTAAGCCTCAAAATATTGAGCTTGGTCATTTAAATTTTTATTTTGGATACTTTCTAATAAAATTGTAAGCTCCATGAAGGCCAGACCCACGGCCAGCTGTATTCATACTTGGCGCAGTAGTGAGCACAGTTATAACTCAACAAGTATTTTTAAACTAATAAATGTATACATAAACTGGTTTGTTCCAGGACCAAATATTCTCTATCATACAGGCCGGGCTGAGCAGCCACTAACCACTCATGATTATATAAGAACTTAATGTGTAGGATCTGTGTCAGTCAGGAAATTAGCACTGGGAACTAAAGCCACCTGCAAACTGGCCCAAGTCTCCTGGCCTAGATGCCCTTCCCAGCCACTCTCATCCAGCCTTAAACAGCCTGTTCACACCAGCCCTGATGGCTGTGGAGCGTGCACTGATTCGGTTCTCTGGCTCTCCCTGAATCTTCGTTTGCAAGCACGTTAATGGTGTTTTTTGCTTTCTTTTTGACGTATGGTAGGTACCTTGTTTCCCAGTTCTGGGTATAAGCTCCTTGAGGGCTTGTCTTCTACTTATATGGTTTCCTTCCCACATTTATAATACAAATGGTGTTGAGTGAATGAGAGTAGGAATCTAGTTAATCCTCCATCATCTGAATTACGTTGAGTGAAAACAGTAAACGACCACCTCCTTTCTCTCCTTTTGCTGAGCTCTTTTTCTTAGCACGGTCCCAGTCTGTCAAGTAGCCACGGGATGCCTTCCTGCCATGCTGTGGCTTTGCTGCTTCCCATTTGGAATAAGGGAGGTTGGCTCCTAGAATAACCATGGCTTTGTACCTACTAACTTGGTCACCTCGACCAAGTAAATAAACCTTTTCCAAACTTCAACTTCTTCACTTGTAAGTGAAGTTAATAATTTGTATATTACAAAGTTTTTGAACAGGTTAAACAGACCAACATGGAAGCCCTTAGATGGGTTGCTTGGGACATAGGAAGCCCTCAATGAATGTTGACTGGATGAGTCAGTCTGTGGCTCACCAGGTGGGAAAGAAAGGCAATACGAAGGTTTTCAGTATTTCATGAGCACCTACTATGTATCAGCATTATGCCAGGTACATTCACATTTATAATTTCATGTAATCATTACAGTAGCCAGGCTGAGCTATTACTAACCACCCTAAGAACAAGTATTTCCCTTGTTTGTTGGTGGTGGAAAAACAAAGCTCAGAGAGAGGAAGCAACTTGCCCAAGTTCCTACCTGTGATAACTGGTAGGGCCAAATTCAAATCTAGTTCTCTCAGAGTCCAGAACCCTTGCCCATACTTTCGTGACACATGGTCATTACTGTCAGGAATCACTAATTAACCTGTCCAACTAGATGTTTTGTAGTTCTTGAAGGATTTGTGTCCTTTCCCATAGCTTTGTGTTTTAATGTATAAGGCATAAATTAGCCAAACCTTTATGAAATTGTTTTTATGTCTATTTTTAAGTAAATCTTATATAAGAAAGTAAGAGAAAGAAATTTTCTCTTTAAAAAGAGAAAGTAATTTTCAATGTTGTATTTTTATTTTCTGCTGAGTAATAGGTAGAATACTAGACTGAAATTTAGACAGTCTCATATTCTAGTCTATGCCCTTCTCTTGGAATCGTTTTTACTTTGCTTTTTCCATCCATAAAGTGCCAACATAGTAAGTTCAAGGCTATCTAGACTCCAAATATCTAGAAAGCTCAGTAACCAGAAATTCCTTTCACTCTGCTTTTATAAGAGAGGAAATACTCCTAAGAAGTACATGACCTAGTATTTACCTTTTTTTATCTTAACCAGTACTTTAGTGGTACCTACAAGATGTAGGTACTGTGCGAGACAGGAAGATGAATAAGAATACTCTAGACCTCAGGAATTTATTCTAAATAAGAAATGCTGGAGGAGGTCTTAGGGTGAGCTTAGGATAAATTCTATCACAGTTCTCTACAGTGCTATAAAACTGTGAATCTCAGAATATTTGGTCTCAGAAAACAGGTCTCAGAATATTTACAGTCTGAAAAATAATTAAGGATTTCTACTTTATCTCAATTTTTAAAAATTATTAAGGACTCCAAAGAGGATTTTTGTTTATGTGGTTTGCATCTATCAATATTTACCATATTAGAAATTAAAACTGAGAGATCATTAAAATATTGGTTTAATTCATTTAAAATAATAAAAAAATAATAATAAGCCCATTCTATTTGACATAGATAATATAAAAATGAAAAAATAGATATATACTTTTTTAAGAATTATTTTGCAAGAAGAGTAGATTGTTTTACATTTTTACAGAGCTCTTCAATGGCTCTCTGACTTAATATACAGATAGATTCTCCTGTCTGCTTCTGCATTCAGTCTCTTATGATACATCGTTTTTGATGAAGTATATGGTAAATATCTGACCTGACCTGACACATTCATGTAGTTGCAAAAAGGAGTGTCTTAATTGCTTTCTTAGTTATCACAACACCATGCATCAGTCATTCGGAAAATATTGGTTCACTAAGATATGAAGAGCTTCCAAATGTTGACACAATTCACTCTGCAGTATCCAGAAAATCATATTCATTCTTACAACCACTAATCTCATCAGGGAGTTCTTTAACTACTGGCTCTAAAGCTCACAGGGCCAAAACTCTTAAATTTTGCTCAAACACTCAAATCTTACCATTGGCAACAAATGCTTCAGTTGTTTCCCTTAAAGGAACAGATGCACTTCATTTTTGTAAAAATGTCTACTAACTACTCCAGTCTGAATAACCATATATTGACTGTCAATCGTTTTTTCAAATATAAATGGTATTGCGGAGGCAGGAGCTAGTTCAGTTGGCATCTGAAACGATAGCTCTTCCAGACAGCACAGTCCAGCATGCTGCAAGGGGTGCTGCATGCGTACTCCATTTTATCACATGGTATTGAAAAAGCACGTGCTCAGTAAATAGCCTCACCCGCGAGAGAGCAGAGAGCAGAAACAAGAAGAACTACAGTCCTGCAGCCTGTGGAATGAAAACCACATTCACAGAAAGACAGGCAAAATGAAAAGGCAGAGGACTGTGTACCAGATGAAGGAACAAGATAAAACCCCAGAAAAACAACTACATGAAGTGGAGATAGGCAACCTTCCAGAAAAAGAATTCAGAATAATGGTAGTAAAGATGATCCAGGACCTTGGAAAAAGAATGGAGGCAAAGATCGGGAAGATGCAAGAAATGTTTAACAAAGACCTAGAAGAATTAAAGAACAAACACCTAGAAGAATTAAAGAACAAACAAACAGAGATGAACAATACAATAATTGAAATGAAAAATACACTAGAAGGAATCAATAGCAGAATAACTGAGGCAGAAGAACGGATAAGTGACCTGGAAGATGGAATGGTGGATTTCACTGCCGCAGAACAGAATAAAGAAAAAAGAATGAAAAGAAATGAAGACCGCCTGAGAGACCTCTGGGACAACATTAAACGCACCAACATTCACATTATAGGCGTCCCAGAAGGAGAAGACAGATAGAAAGGACCTGAGAAAATATTTGAAGAGATTATAGTTGAAAAAATCCCTAACATGAGAAAGGAAATAGCCACCCAAGTCCAGGAAGTGCAGAGAGTCCCAGGCAGGATAAACCCAAGGAGACACATGCCGAGACACGTAGTAATTAAATTGACAAAAATTAAAGACAAAGAAAAATTATTAAAAGCAACAAGGGAAAAACAACAAATAACATACAAGGGAACTCCCATAAGGTTAACAGCTGATTTCTCAGCAGAAACTCTACAAGCCAGAAGGGAGTGGCATGATATACTTAAAGTGATGAAAGGGAAGAACCTACAACCAAGATTACTCTACCCGGCAAGGATCTCATTCAGATTTGATGGAGAAATCAAAAGCTTTACAGACAAGCAAAAGCTAAGAGAATTCAGCACCACCAAACCAGCTCTACAGCAAAGGCTAAAGGAACTTCTCTAAGTGGGAAACACAAGAGAAGAAAATGACGTACAAAAACAAACCGAAGACAATTAAGAAAATGGTAATAGGAACATACATATTGATAATCACCTTAAATGTGAATGGATTAAATGCTCCAAACAAAAGACACACGCTCACTGAATGAATACAAAAACAAGACCCATATATATGCTGTCTACAAGAGACCCACTTCAGACCTAGGGACACATACAGACTGAAAGTGAGGGGATGGAAAAACATATTCCATGCAAATGGAAATCATAAGAAAGCTGGAGTAGCAGTACTCATATCAGATAAAATAGACTTTAAAATAAAGAATGTTACAAGAGACAAGGAAGGGTACTACATAATGATCAAGAGATCAATCCAAGAAGAAGATATAACAATTACAAATATATATATATATATATATACCCAACATAGGAGCACCTCAATACATAAGGCAACTGCTTGAGGAAAGAGGAAATCGACAGTAACACAGTATATAATCGACAGTAATAGTGGGGGACTTCAACACCTCACATACACCAATGGACAGGTCATCCAGACAGAAAATGAATCAGGAAACACAAGCTTTAAATGACACAATAGACCGGATAGATTTAATTGATATTTATAGGACATTGCATCTGAAAACAGCAGATTACACTTTCTTCCTAAGTGCGCACAGAACATTCTCCAGGATAGATCACATCTTGGGTCACAAATCAAGCCTCGGTAAATTTAAAATTAAAATCATATCAAGCATCTTTTCTGACCACAACACTATGAGATTAGAAATAAATTACAGGGAAGAAAATGTAAAAAACACAAACACATGCAGGCTAAACAATGTGTTACTAAATAACCAAGAGATCACTGAAGAAATCAAAGAGGAAATCAAAAAATACCTAGAGACAAATGACAATGAAAACACAGTGATCCAAAAACAAAAAAAGGCACGTGCTCAAGGGTTGAGATTTAATAATATGAATATTTATTACTGTTTAATCAGTATCAGTTTTTGGGGGTGTTTTTTTTAACTGCAAGTGCATGGCAGTGAGGAAGACAGTGGCTACTAGGGAAGTTTGATGCCACTGCCTGTTTCTAGCTAAAGGGTCAGCAGTTTTTCCCACCATTGCTTTTGCTGACCATCAGTGCAAAGGTCAACACAGTGAAAAAGGCAAAGAACGTCTGTCGGTGTTCTGAAAATAGCTTTGATGCCTGAAAAGGCCTCTGAGATCCCCAGGGGTCCATGAATCCCTTTTTAAGAACCACCACTACAACAATTATTGAGAATTATTGAGGACCTTAGTGATATCCCAGAGGCATTACAACATCCTAAAGTATTTTCCAAGTCATCAGGGTTTAAATTAGTTGTTTTGGCGAATATATGTATAATGTATAACGTGTTCATCAATTACTCAGAATAGTTCATTTAAAAGGGAACCTATTTACCAGCCATTTTGGAGCAGTCAAAACATTGTTGTCCTAGTAGACATGGACAGAGAAGAATTTTCAATGTAGGAAAAAATATTTGCCTCAGAAGTGAGAATTGAAAAGTAGTGTGCTGGGCTTCCCTGCCCAGCAGGGAAGTGGTTGAGGGTCCGCCTGCCGATGCAGGGGACACGGGTTCGTGCCCCGGTCCGGGAGGATCCCACATGCCGCGGAGCGGCTGGGCCCATGAGCCATGGCCGCTGAGCCTGCGCGTCCGGAGCCTGTGCTCCGCGACGGGAGAGGCCAGAACAGTGAGAGGCCCGCGTACCGCAAAAAAAAAAAAAAAAAAAAAAAAAGTAGTGTGCTTCACAAAGTCTATTAACTATGAAGTTACGTTTGTAGAATCGTGCTGTTGAAGTAGATAGATCTGTGTATAATAGAAAAATCATAAAAAATGCACTCTCCTTTCACAAGTTAGCAGAGCCATGTAGAGCCATGGACATTTATACCCAAGTATTACCAACCCTTCCCTCCCAAAAAGTTTCAGATTAATGTTACTTGAAATCAGAACAGTGTAACCTTATATGTGAACTATGATTTTTTTAAAAATAAAAAACAAATGTTTTTTAGTTTTATCTGTAACTGTCGGGAAGTCATATTTTGATTATTAAACTAAGCTATTACTTGAACTTTAAATCATCAAGTGTTTATGAAACAGTAATTATGGACTTAGCTTTCAAAATAAAATTCCAAGATAGCTTGATGTGAATTGGAAATATTTTTACAAATAAAATGATGCAGGCTTAAGATCCTGCAGCTGATATCTGAGGGGAGGGGCAGAAAAACACAGTGACTGAAAGTGGGGACAGCACCAGTAGGACTTCAGGGTACTGGGTGTTCGGTACACAGCTGTTTGCTTTGTGCTAAAACACTGAGCTACTCATCTCTTAGGTTTGTGTCCTTTTCTGTTTCTGTGTCGTGTTTCAAAACTTTTAAAGTTAAAAATAAAAAGATCTGTACACAAAAACAAGCGCTTAGTACAAACGTGAAGACCTCGGTGACCTGGGGGACAAAGCCCTTTTCTGGGACTTAATGCAGAACATAAAGTGTCATCATTGGTTGCCCGGCTCTGCTTGCCAGCCATCCAGCCTCTAAATCATCAGGGATAAAATTGTTTATCTAGTTGATCAATTCAAGAAACTAATACTGGGCTGTGGATGGGGTAAAGGGAAAAAAATTTTTCCAGAGAATATACTAATGACTCCTATTTGTTTACCCAATGATTCAAGGCTCATCCACTGCAGAGTTCAACGGGATTTACAGAGGGCCTCTCCCGACATTTAATTTTAAACCTAATTTTAAAACCTGGAGAAAAGAAATCTGTCAAAGTAAAGTTCACTCCAATTCACAATAGAACTGTTTCTTCCCTAATCATAATCAGGTACGTTCTGTGATTTAAGTGTGGGTTGACTTTTAGTACTTACATAGAGTCCTTTCCTGATCTGTTTCAATATTAATATTTGCATTAATTTATTTCTGAAATAGGGTATTCATTTTGCCCAAAATACACACACACATACCACACCTCATGAAACATACCTTTGTGATGATATTTTTAGCTAGAAGGCCTGAATACTGGCTTCCTGTACCATGTGTGACTCTTCAAAGTGAAAAATTCTTGGTCCTCTTTGTGTAAACATTTAAAATTTTTTCAAGTGCAAATGTTTCACCATTAAATTTAGTGTATTAATTTTTACATGGTTTATAAAGTAACAGTAAAAATTATAGATCAAAAGATTGTGCAAATTTAATGGGAGGAAAACCTGTGGTTCTTGTTCTTACATAGAAATAACCTGACTGTGATGGATGCTGTGATGGTCCAAGGACAAGGAACAACTGAGAACTTGAGGGTGGCAGGCAAGCTTCCAGGTCCAGGGAGCTCCTTGCGCTTTAAAATCACAGAAGCATTATTAAAAGACTGTACAGACAGTGAGTATTCCTGTCATATCCAAGGGCACACATTTCAGCGTTTGTTGTCAACAGTAAATAATTCCAAAAACAAGAACAGTATTTCTACATGTACACATGTGTATATTAATGATGGATACTTAAGATTTTAAGAAAACACCCTGACTTGCTTTCAGAGTTGTTTGGTTTGGATCTTAAAAAATTTGAAATGTCAGTATTCATTGCATGCCTTAGATGATTTACTCTGAATGTGAAAAATAAAGCACAGTAAGTCCCCTACATATGAACCTTCAAGTTGCAGACTTTCAAAGATGCAAACATGCGTTTGCATGTCCAGTCACGTAAGTTAGTTCACGTGTCTGGCGCACATTGTCACGTGTGTGCAGCCTCTACAAGTGATTGTGCTTTTGTGTACTTTACAGTACTGTATAGAGTACAGTAGTACAGTACCTTTATTTCAAGCCCAGGATGTCCAGAAGCAACCGTAAAAGCAGCGGTGATGTAGCGAGTACTGCAGCCAGCCCCTGTATGCCAGCTGTTTACCGTACTACTGTACTTTTCAAGGTACTGTACTGTAAGATTAAAAATGTTTTATTTCTTGTGTTTGTTTGTTTTTTATGTGTTATTTGTGTGAAACGTATTATAAACCTATTACAGTACGGTACTATATAGCCAATTGTGTTGGTTAGGTACCTAGGCTAACTCTGTTGGACTTACGAACAAATTGGACTTACTAACGCACTCTTGGAACTAAACTCGTTCGTATGTAGGGGACTTACTGCAAAATTAAACTTCTGCCGTCTAAAATGACTTAACAAAGTAGAGTACTTCCTGATGAAATCCGGGTAATGGCTGATCTCTTTGCCCTGAGGGGCTCCGTTCATAATCTCTGGGATTACATTCATGAAGAAGGTATTATCATTACTTGGACCTGGAGCACAGGATAGCAAGATTTATACTCCTTATTTTTTTCCTTTAGGTTTGAAACTAAGAGAACCAAATTTCACATTGAAAAGAACATTTAAAGTAGAGAATACAGGACAACTTCAAATTCACATAGAAACCATTGAAGTCAGTGGGTACTCATGCGAGGGATATGGCTTTAAAGTTGTCAATTGTCAAGAATTTGCACTAAGTGCCAATGCCTCTAAAGACATAATCATTTTGTAAGTATTTTCTCATACGATAACAAATCACTAACTTCTCATTAACTTTTTATACTGGAGTTGTTCAAACTTTATGCTAAAATTGTTTGCATACTCACAAAAAAAGGTCTTTATCCACAAATATATTCTTTTGATTTTTTTCTTCACTTAATCTTTGGTTATTTCTTCATATCTTTGTTTTCAAAATTGTGAAACTCCAAAGTGGATCAGATAGTCTTAGAAACCAGTTTCAAAACTATTTTCAAGATTGTGTAGGAAACTGACTATAAATTCAGTCTCAGCAGCAGAGCAGACACCTGTGTTACACACATGCAGTTTTTCTGTGTTGTGCAGTGTATACAAATGTGTGATATTTTGGTCAGAAGACAGTTTTAATGCCTACATCGGCAATAGTTGCACCATATTTTGACAATTGATTACTTGTTATGTTATAAAGTTTATATAATAAAATGTAACTTCTGTCCCCTTAATGGAATGATAATTTCATGACCTTCAGTGGACACTTACTTTATAAGTAACTACATTACTCCATGTAAGGCATAACACTTGGCACCTGAAGGTAACAGTGAGGAATAAGACACCTTTCCTCAACGTGCAGATCGTGTGCTTGCGGAGCGTACGGTTAACAAAATAAAGATAATATAATTAGGGCAGAAAGCAGTGCTGCAGGAGATGGACATCAGCAGGGCTAGGGTGGTTCTCTACACACACACACACACGAAGGCAGTGGGAATGCATCGTAGGAGAAGAGTGTGGATTAAATAAAGGAGGAAGGAGGAGGGAAGGGAAGGAAGCTCAGAGACTACTTTCCTAGTTAATGATCATGGGAAGCTGATTATTGTTCTCTTTTTATGTAACTTCTCCAGTTATCCACAGAATATAGTTGTTTTGGTTATTCACCTCATAGGGCAATACTTTGTCCATCGTAAAATGAGAAAGTTGAATAAAAGTATCAAACTCTCAAATTCTGTGTTCTGTTTCAAAGGCATTATATTTAAACTGTTTGTGGTATATTTTTAAAAACTTGAGTCTCACTGCCATCATTCCGTTTTAGGTTTACTCCTGATTTCACAGCTTCTAGAGTTATTCGTGAACTGAAGTTTATAACAACGAGTGGCTCTGAATTCGTATTTGTATTGAATGCATCCCTTCCTTACCATATGTTAGCAACCTGTGCAGAAGCCCTGCCCAGGCCCAACTGGGAGCTGGCTCTGTACATCATCATCTCAGGAATAATGAGGTACTTGTGTCTTCTTTCGAGTTTAGTATTTAGGCATCACTTGACACTGTTTAGCATGGGCCCACTACGTGCCAGTCACCGTTCTGAGTGCCGGGGATTCACCAACGAACAAAGCAGGCAGACCTCTCTCGTCAAGCCTACATACACCAGTGGGGACAGTCAGAACTGAACCCTTCTTGGGTGGCATATACCATAAACTAGAGTCTTTTCTACCTTTGAAATTTGTTATACAAATTAAGTACAGGTTAATTTCTTAAAGGAAAAAAAAACATGCATAATTTACCAGGTAGTTACTCGATTTGGGCATTTGTAATGTACTCAACATAATAGTTTATTCTTCCTGAGTCATACCTAAGTAACATAAAACTGACGAGAAGTATTTTTTAAACCCTCAACATCCTCAGTCTTTTTTTCAGCATATTTCTTTATGTTTTTTTAAGAATGAGATATACTCGCCTCTGAATTAACTTACATAGTTACCCTGCACATCCTTTAAGGGAAAAGAGCTGGCCTAGAGAGTTAGAGGTAAAAGAAAAGCTACCCTCCAGTGTCTGTTCTGATACAGATAATTATTTCCTCCGTACGAGCCTCCGTGTACATTGGCATTCTAGAAAAGTCAGTGTGCAAATTTTCATCCATAATGCTTTTTTGTCACATCACAGGCATTTTGTTTTTTATATCATATTGTACTTTACCAAGAAACTTGCCTTTAATGTCACATTTTGTTACTCTTGCACTCACAAATGAACCCCGATTCTCCAACTTCTGTTTCCCTGCAGTGCACTGTTCCTTTTGGTAATTGGAACAGCCTATTTAGAAGCTCAAGGAATTTGGGAGCCATTTCGAAGGCGACTATCCTTTGAGGCCTCGAACCCGCCCTTTGATGTGGGAAGACCATTTGATCTCAGGAGAATCGTTGGTATTTCATCTGAAGGAAAGTAGGTTCACCTGCCGGAAATAAATTCTCCAATATATATAGATTTGGCCGATGTAATTAAAAGAAAAAATAAGTTTCTTCTTTTCATCTTTGCTCAGGGGGAAAAATCTTTAATACCCTGCGTGTAGTGCTCTGTTACTAAGAACTCATAGCAAATGCCATGTTTGTATTATATTGATAAGGGTCAAAATATTCTCAGTTGTATCAATACCTCAATTTCTAAATTGTCAGTTAGAACAGACCCAGTCCAGTTGTGGAAAGTATCCTATTTCTTGCTGTTTTTTCCTTCCGGTAGTTCATATTTATGGTGGCTATACTGATGAAGTAATGTTTTTAATCTTAGATCTTGTAGGTTGCTATTACTGATCGGCAGTTGGTCCTTTTTTCAGCTTGAACACACTCAGCTGTGACCCCAGTCACAGTAGGGGGTTCTGTGGAACAGGCGGTTCGGCGTCCCGACCCAGCGCAGGGAGTCATAAGCAGTGTGGCCCACCAGTCCACCCGCACAGCAGTCACGGCAATAGAAACTCAGCTGACGTGGAAAACGTCAGAGCCAAAAGCAGCGCAAGTACCTCTAGCAGGACTAACGCCCAGTCGGCGAGCAAAGCCAGCGCCCTGGTCTTAGATTCACATGCCGTGGCCCAGGGTCACACAGCGGGCAGGAAGTCCAAGGGGGCAAAACAGAGCCAGCACGGCAGCCAGCACCATGCCCACAGCCCGCTGGAGCATCACTCGCCACCGCCACCACCAGTGCCTCAGCACCAGGAGCCACAGCCCGAGAGGCTGTCCCCCGCACCCCTCACGCACCCATCCCACCCAGAGCACCCCAGCAGCACACGGCACAGCTCAGAGGACTCGGACATCACCAGTCTCATCGAAGCCTTGGACAAAGACTTCGACCACCACGACTCCCCAGCCCTGGAAGTGTTTGCAGAGCAGCCGCCTTCACCACTGTCGAAAAGCAAAGGTAATCATGGGTTCTCACGGCCAGGAAAGCGTGACACGTGAGGGGAGAGCCAGCACGTGTTTAAGGGGCTACTGTGATCGTAGTTGTGATGAGCAGCTACTTTAGTAGGTGTTCTTCTGGCTCAAGTTCATCTCTGCTCTTGGACTTCAGCTTTTCCATATCAAGGTGCAGGTAGAGGTACCCATTTGTCCTAAAAGATATTTGTATTTCTTAGATTACTTGCCAAATTCAGGAAGTTATTGGACATCTGCTGTTTTCCTTTTCAGCTGCGTGTGATTACTGTGTTACTGTGGCAGGTTGAACTTTTTAATTGTTAAAATAATTTTAACAGAACGGAGATCATCTGCCTTTTAACTCAAAAATGGGACTTCTGCACAACCTGTGCTTTAGAGCAGGGGTTGGCAAACTACAACCCGTGGGCCAAGTCGTCACCTGTTTTTGTAAATAAGGTTTTATCAGGACCCAGCCGTGCTCATTCGTTCACACACGGTCCATGGCTGCTTTTGTGCTGCAGCAGTAGCAGAGCTGAGCAGCTGCAACAGAGGCTGTAAGGTCCACAAACCAGAAAATATTTACTGTCTAGCCCTTTCCAGAAAGAGTTTGCTGACCCCTGCTTTAGAGTTCTTCATGCTGTATTAGTTATCCACTTCTCAGTAACAGTTACCCCAAAACCTAGTGGCTTAAAACCCCACCATTTACTATCTCACAGTTTCTGGGGGTCAGGCATCTGGGTGCAGCTTAGCCGGCTTCTCTGGATCTCATAAGACGGCAGTCAGGGTGTTGGCCAGGGCTGAAGCCTTTGTAAGGTTCAGCTGAAGGTGGATCTGCTTCCAAGTTCACTCAGGTGGTTGACGGCAGGGTGGACTGAGGGTCTGCGTTCCTCCCTGACTGTGGCCAGCCACCTCTGCATAGAGCAGCTCAAAGCCGTTGTTGGCTTTACCAGAGCGAGCAAGTAGGAAGGCAAGAGAGAGAACAGGCTGGCAGGACAGAAGTCATGGTCTTCTGTGACCTACTCTTGGAAGTGACCCCCCATCACTTCTGCAGTGTTCTCATTAGAAGTGTGGGCCAGCCACACTCCGGGAGAGAGAGTTCCACAAGAGCATAACGTGGGGCTCCCTTCTTCGAAGTCTACGCACCACACACACATAGGCAGGCTAATTTGTAACTTCCAGAATCAAAATGTGAAAAATAGTGAATGGCCTCTGGCTATATTTCAGTTTATTCCCTTTACAGCCTGAACTTTTTTGCATCTTCCTCTCTCTCCTGTGGCAGCCATGCTAATACATTACTCTAAGCCTATTTAAGTCCCTCCCTCACTCACTGGGGTACCAAGGAGTTTTTGCCTTTGGTTTGCACAGGGAATAGGGAACCTGGCAGCCCTGAGAGGCCAGAAGAAACCTGACGCCGCAGAATCCGGGAGTTTTAGAGAATTTCTTAGTTCCAGTGATATGAAGACTAGTTCTATATGGTCTTCTTAGAATTACTTGCGTTTGGATTTTTAAAACAGTAGAAAGTCTTGAATAATATTTAACTTCTCCCATAGAAATCTTTTCGTGTTGTTACCTCATTATTAATAGAGCTTACATATTTTAGGGTAATTTTTACAGTAATATTAAATGAATGCTTAAAGTTCCTTTTATAAATTAGATCAAGCTACATAATGTGTTTTTCTCCTATCGAGAGCATGAATAAAATAAACATATATTATCCTTTCTTACCACAAAGAGAGGCTCTGGCAGTCAAAATGAGCACCTTGTTGCTTGTGTCTAAGATAGTCCTCTAACACCACCATAGGCCCGTTTTTCTTTTCAGGGCCATTCATCTAGAACATAAAGTTTAAATTTTTAAAATGTTTTTTTATTGTTCACAGTGGTCCGAGAGTCGACCTACTAAAAGCTGTGTCATGATGGAGCGTGGATAGTGATTCTTGAGCCCACAAGGAGGCAGTGATTACCAGCTTCACATGAGCGGCCACCCCACTTGGTAGCCTTCCCACTGCTGCTGTGTGGAAAGGAGGAAAGAGCCAGATCTTTGTTTTTTTTTCTTCTTCAATAAGTGGTTTTATTGAAGTATAACATACATGTAGAAACTCAGTCTTTTTTTTTTTTTTTTTTTTTTTTTTTGCGGTACGCGGGCCTCTCTGTTGTGGCCTCTCCCATTGAGGCGGAGCGCAGGCTCAGCGGCCACGGCTCACGGGCCCAGCCGCTCCGCGGCATGTGGGATCTTCCTGGACCAGGGCACGAACCGCAGTGGTTGAGAGTCCGCCTGCCGACGCAGGGGACACGGGTTCGTGCCCCGGTCCGGGAAGATCCCACATGCCGCGGAGCGGCTGGGCCCGTGAGCCGTGGCCGCTGAGCCTGCGCGTCCGGAGCCTGCGCTCCGCCTCAATGGGAGAGGCCACAACAGTGAGAGGTCCGCGTACCGCAAAAAAAAAAAAAAAAAAAAAAGTTGGGCATTGATCTTGGGGTAGCAAAATACTGATAGATGAGAAAACCATAGGCTCTTAGCCAGGTGGAACATTTATCATCTCTCTAAAGCTTACCCCAGCGCCCCTGCTAAAATAGTCTCGTGTTTACATTAAACATGAACCTTCTCTTTTCAGAAGCACCCTGTTCTCTCCCCTGCCCTCCCCAGTAGCTCAAAGAAATCTTCCTTGTAGTGAGCTTCAGTGACGTCTGGCTTTTGGAGACTGTTCAGAAAGACCCTTCTTCATATGAACGGGGTCTCCCTGCTCTTGCCCTCTCTGGGTGGATGGCTTGCAGTCCATCCAGTCACTTCTCTAGTCATCCCAGCAGTCACTTTTCCTCCCGGGAGATGGGACCCAGAAATGCCCTCTGTTCGTGGCTGCCTGAGCAGGGCCCCTACGGCTGGGCAGTCATTAGATTCTGTACTTCTGTGGCTTCTCCTCCTGTGACACGCAAGTCCTGGGGACTGGACAGGGGCCATTGCTGTATTGAGGGTTAAAACCTGAGAACGCACTGAGCCTGGTGCAGCCATTTTCAGTGTCTGCATTCACTGCAGAAACAGTGGGATCTGCCACCACCCTCGTTTCTGCCGTTGGCGGTCTGAGCGGCAGCTTTATCTCAGGTGGGGAGAAGCCAAGTGGTGTGGGCTCACAAGGCCAGGCTCTACCTTCAGGCAGACCCAGATCAAATCCTGGCTATGCCACTTACTAACTGTGTGATTTGGAGAAAATTACTTCTCTGAGCCTCTGTTTGTTACCTTTAAAGTGGAGAGAATAGCTTCTACTTACATGGTAGGGTGTAGGCACTGCGGTGATTTTTAGGGCAGGAAATGGCGCTGCCATCACTAGGCTGCTGGGTTACATTTGGCTGTGGCACATCCCAGCGGGAATGTCTGCTTGGAACTCGGTCTTGAGGGTTAGGAATGGGATAAGCAGAGAGCTGAGGACAGAATCCCGAGGACAAGGCCAGCAGACAGTGTGACGGGAAGCAGGTAGCAGATGTGGTTGGCATGTCCCAGCAAGGCCAGAGCAGAGGGAGAACCGAGCTCCACAGAGCCTGGAGGACCTTGGCAGGAATAGTCTCTGTGAAGTGAGCCTAGAAGCCAGGTAACTGTGGCTTGGAGAGCACCTGGCACACCAGACCGTTACCAGTGGCCGCTTGGTGTGCACGTGAGGGGCCAGTGAGTGAGGGGTGGAGGTTACTCTTTAATCTGTAGTTTCCATGTTCTTAGATTTTTAACCAAAAAAAAAAAAGGATACGTATATCTTGCAGTAGTATTTTTCATGAAGAAAATAAATAGGAGAACATGTTGCTTGAAAATGTCTGTGGGCCAAGGACAGAAAGGGGGGTAGAGCTGAGAGCAGCGGTGTTGTCAGCACTTCCTGACGTTCCAGACACGACCGCAAGTGCCTCGGGCACCTGGGTGATTGGCATTGCGCTGACCCTGTTTGCAGGGGGGAAGCCCAGTCTAAGAAGGGTTATGTCAGGCAGACACAGGAACCAAGCCCAGGCCCGACCCGAACCCTCAGCTCGCAGCTGCACGACACCACCTCCTCCACAAGGAGGAGCAGCATTTGAGTAGGCAATTGGTGCGACCCAATGCCCAGGGAGGTGGGTGGGTGGGACCCAGCTCCGCAGAGTATACGAGGGCACGTGTTCCACAGGTGTGTGGACTCAGAGGGATTGGTAGCTTCTGAGGCCGAAGGGGAAGCGGTAGGGTAGAAACAGAAGGTAGAGGAAGTCTGGAATGATCAGACCTCAAATAGCTGAGATTTCTGTAGGCTGGGAGTCCATAGGACATGGGAATTGGATTTGCAGAGCAGTCCCTCGGGCAACATCGGGGAGCCAGCTGAGGGTCACTGTGGCCTCCCTCACGCTTGTGCCTTTCTTCTCCATTGACTGTGCAGCCCACGGGTGAAGAGCGAACACGGGGTGGTTGGCACCCTGCAGGGCAGGGACAGCAGAGAGACCGGGGCTGAGAACGTCGTGGGGCGCTGGCAGGAGAACACTGGGCGTGCCACGCTGTGCGGAATTAGCAGGACCTTAACACAGAAGGAGCCTCACCGACAGGGAGAATGGACAAGTCAAGGGCCAGGGCTCCAACAAGTCAAGTTACAGGGATGATGGAAGCAAGGGAATGAGAGGAGACCAAGGTGTGAAAAGGAGGCGTGAGGGTTTAGGGTTTGGGAGAAAAAGTAGTTCCAGGCAGTAACAGGCCCTCAGGTGCAGCCTGGAAGTGAGGTGTGGGGGTGTAACGGAAGTAAAGCCTGTTAGCACCAGCGAGGCCACAGACCTAGAGGTCCACCATCCTTTATACAACACTCGAGAGCCACCTTTGTTGGAATTCAGGTTTTCAGAAAGGTATACGATGACGTGCCATGAGATTAATGAGACCGCAAAAGCAGCTTCATGTCAGTTCGGTTCAGTTGTGCCACCAAAAGAGGTTTTGTTTCTAAGTGAGTTGGGGAGAAAAAGCTTTGAAAGCTTTTGGGATTTCAGATTGACTAATAGAGATTGTCGTCCCGACCTATACCA